ATCTTGCTAGTCAGGCAAATATGTGCATAAATGAACACATCATATATTATAAATATCTTATAAGATATGTGTAAATATATTATAAACATCTCTATTTTTTAAGCAAATTATCCTGCTGCCTGTTATATGGTGTAACAATTTAGAAAGAGCCAAATAACATATTATATAACACTAAGGAATAAGAGCATAGCAGTTATTCAATAAATACTTTACTCAAAAATACATGAACACTAATTTCTAACTATTAATTTTATAAATTAGCTATCGTAGCAAGGGACAATTTTTGAGCAGCCCAACTAAATATCAGTTGAATGGATTGTTAATTAGCTGTCTCTCAGACTCTTAAGGCTGAGCCAGTCTTTACATCCAGATGAAATCAATGCTGAACACACAAAGAAACTACATTTTCCTGTGCTTTGAGAGATATTGAAGAGTTACATTTTTTCTGAAACTTGAAGCTAATCTTTAATATATTTTCAAGGAGTTATTATAAATATTTATTTTATTCGCTGTTGCATAAGAAAACTTTTCTCAGTAGGAAAAAATGCCAGAAATAGAGCAATGCAAAAAGGTGGATGAAATTACCCATTTTCCCAAGAGCGAAAGTCACATGGCAAATGTCTGTCATTTTCAGCTCTACCCCATCAGACTTTCGCTTACAACTGCAATGGAAGGGATTCATTTAAGTTTGCATTACTCTCCTTATCCTTGCTTATGTCTCAGAATACATTAACGCAAGTGTGAAAATAACTGAAAAGCAACGGGCAAGATCAAGGACAGTCAGAGAACAAAAATCCCCAAATAGCAGAACTAGCCAATATGCACTAGTATGTTTTAATACGTGCTATCAATATTTATCAATAACCTAGCTCAATTCTACCATTCCTCTGGGTTCTGGTGCCTAAAAGTCATGAGGAATATGGTGACAGATGTGTGGAGCACAATCCTGGCCTTCCCAATAGCAGCAGTTAAGGCTCCCAGGGAGAGATGAGAGAGGCTGCTTTGGGTGGTTAGCCAGGCGGAATAAACAAAAGGGAAAGTTCGCAGCTCTTAGATTTTCTCTCCCTTGCTTGCAGTTGAGAGAAAGCATCAATTTCAGTCTGTCCTTAGCATTATGAAGAAAAGCATTTATCAAGGGGTTATGCTGCTGATTTAGGTATGTAGAAATTGAAGCAGAATTTTTTAAATAAGTACAAAAGAGGAAGACAAATATTTGATCTTTTAGAATATAGAAACTGAAAAGAATTATCAGGAAAACATCATTTACAGAGTTTCTGTTTATTACTTCTTACATACTAGAATGCATAAAATCAGAAATTTAAAGGTGAAGCAATTTTCATTATTTTCAGAGTGGATTTCTTTTTATACTTATCTTATTTTCAGTGTATTTGATTTTTTTTTTTTTTCAGTTTGAAAACACTTTCACAGATATTATTTGAGTGAAGTAAATGGTAAAGTATAGTGCTTAAAGTTTCACTGCAGGTCAACCACAAAGGAAATGATTATTTTTACCAAGATATTTACTTTCTTTTTGCCTCAGTTTCCTCATATATAAAATATAGATGATAATAGTACCATCTAACGTTGTTGTGAGAATTGAATGTGTGAACCAAGAATAAAATTCTAAGCCCCCCCAACTGACTGACTGGACAACCTCTTGGCCAATGGGATAAAAAAAAAACAAAAAAACCTGAAAAGTTAGTTCAGGCCATGAGGGAAAGGGAGAGTCAGACATTACACTCTCCTCCCTTTAGAATTCAGTCACGACTGACCAGCATCAACATTAACGCAGAAAGATACTAAGACTGACAAAACAAATTCTTTGTAGCAAAGAAGATACCAAGTTCTAACTTGTCTTTGGTATAAAATCAGGTGATACACAGTGGACCCTGAAGGAAATAAAAGTATTTTACCCCAAAATATGTTTCTTTGACATATGTTGAAATGCTCCTTCAAAAGTCTCTTACAGGGAAAATTTACATTATATAGAGAATCTTCTCTTACTAGGTCTTTTCCAGAGAGTCTGACACCTTTTAAGATCTGAGAAGAGACATTTACATCTATTCCATCTGAAGTCTGCTACCTGGAGGTGTCATCTACATGACAGGAAGCCTGGGCTTCCACAACCCTTTCGTGCCTTACCTTAACTCAAGCTGAGTTCAAGTCTTCAGGCGGAGCTTAACTCTTTCAACCAATGGTCAATCAGGAAATCTTGAAATCCTCCTATGAGCTGGAAGCCCCCTGCTTCCAGATGTCCTGCCTTTGGGGCTGAACCGATTATACCAAGCCAATGTATTAATTTATGTCTTTGACTATAAATTCTGCTTCCCTAAAATGTATAAAATCAAGCTGTAACCCAACACCATGGGTATATGCTCTCAAGACCCCTTGAGACTGTGTCATGGGCCATGATCCCTAACCTTGGCAAAAAAAAAAAAACAAAAAAACAAAAAAAAAACCTCTAAATTGAGACTTGACTCAGGCATTTGATTTAAAGATTTAATATAACTATATAAACAAATAATTTAATACATATAAAAAATTTAGAAATTTACAACTATCATATCATAGTTGCTCAATGGCTAATTTTAACTTTCATCACCTAGCAAAATCAATGATTCTCTCAATTTCATGTATGAAAAATCCAAGATCCATGGATATTAAGTAATCTGCGCAAGGTCACAGAGCAGTTAGTGGCAAAATCAGAGTTGCTCTTTGAACAGCATTACCTTTGTGTTCACACAGGTATTAACTAACAATCTTATTTGTAGGCCATTTCCAAATCACATTGACTTCTCTCATAGAACCTCTATTCCCCTGACTTTTTCAGTAATTCTCTCATGCATTTTCATTTCTATTTATTGAACAGACTGTGAGCTCTGTAGGATGAGAATTACATTTATATTGTGACCACAGCTCTCACAGCTCCTGTTATGATACTATAAAAAATAATTGCACCAGGTACTTATTAAAAATGGAAAGGAAGATCTCATTCAAGACTATTGCAGTAAGGGTCAAGACTTGCAATAGAAGAGAGAGATTGAATTTAATCCCCCTGCAAAAAAAGCTGGGAGACTTTTTAACCACCGGGGTGAGCTAATGGAAAAGCACTGCAGGATGTTATGAGGGAATTTTCTCCATGTGGTCAGGTTGTGTGTTTGTTAATGATCACTTGTTGAAAAAAAGCCTCCTACCCTCCAATAGAGGAAGAGAGACAGGGCTCTATCTTTTTTGACAATTACATTTCAATGGAATGACTCACAAATTCTTTTAAAAAAAGTATTCCTGCGTTGAAGATTTACATCTCAAAGGAGAAAAGAAAAAACAAGGGTAAGTTTAATAAAATAAGTGCTCTAAGTAAAGGGAGGTCAGAGGCCTCTAGGCAGGAAGAAGCCTGTCTAAAACTCAGTTAAGCTGAGGACAACATTAAGGACATCTTGGTCAATATGAAAATCATGGTATCTTCACTAAATTTATCTTTTGGAATCAAAAAAGATCTTAGTCAAACTTCTGATTTGTATAATGTGTTGGTTCAATTACCATTTTTCTGGGGAAGGGGGTTACTAGGGAAATCGAAAAGAGTTCATAGTAAGTCAATGAGTTTAATGAATCATAACCAATCTCTTGTCCAGAGGGAAATAGATTTTTCAGAACTGCAACTGACAAGCAGTCAAATGGATTGCCTCTTTTTGTGTGTGTGCTGTCTTTGCCCATTATGGGATGGAAGTGCTCAAGAGCATTTAGATGCTTGCAAAATAGCTAAGGAAAATATGTAAAATAAGAAATTAGCTGTTCAGATATAGACATTTGGAATGTTTCAATCTACATGGAATTCTTAGCAGCTAGAGCTCAAGAGAAAGGATACAGGCATCATGTGGTGGGTAATAGAGCTGGTAATGGTGACTGCAGAGTTGCTGACCTGGTGCTATCAGGGTGCCTGGTGCTGTGAACAATAGAATGACATCTAAAAATGACAGATAATCCCATGTACATGGGTTATCATTTTTCCGTTAAAATATATTTAATGTGTTAACTAGGAAAATGTATTGGTTTTTTTTAATTTTTAATTTTATATGGAGCATAAGTGTTTATAAAGTCCAGTAGATATTTATAGATAATTAATCATTAGCAAACATATGGTAAGATCATTTATAGAGTTAATAGATTTAAAAAAGAGAAAAAAATGATGACAGTAAGATTTCCAAGGGTTAACTAAAATTATCTGTTTTCTTAATTGATGGAAAGTCACCATCTGGAGCTGCCATATTTTCTGTAAAGATTTTTTTTTTTTCTTTTGGTGACACTGTAAGGAGGAAATGAGCATATAATTCCTGTTCTGATTGCAGAAGGGAGCAGTCCAGACCTAATTAACTAAGGGGCTTAATGACACTATTTTAGAGTACTTGTATAGATCAGTCCTACTCTGTGCCTTTGCTCTAAAAGCACAGCAGCCAGCCACAGGCAGCAAGAGGGCTTTGAACAGCAAATTTCCAAATGGCAGTTGTAGGGCAGAACACACACAAAAAAGTTTTCCTGAAAACCAATATGCAAAGAGGATCAATAGGATAAATGGTGTGCCAAATTGGAGTTACTATGGTGCAACTGTTCTTTACTTATTGATGATCATTTTATGAGTATGTTTTTAAAATATATATGATTATTTTATCATGTAGCAAGAGATTACATGGTTTATACTGGCTAAAAGTTCCAGATACTACTGCTTATCTGATACTAGCTATTTAAGTTAAACATAGGTTTTTAGGAGAAAACAACTAGCCTCTTCAATGGAGTAAGCCTTGAAAATTCAAGTTTTGGTAACAGTAGCTTCCAAAGAAAAAATAAAACTGTGGTCTACAGCTATGTTACTAAAATCTCTAACAAATCAGAAGTGAAGATTGACCTGAATCTAAATGACAATATGTATACTGACAATGAACTCCAACATATTAAATCCTATTTTACTTGACAGATCAGCAGCAACTTTTGACACAGTTGATCACCTTTTTCCTTTGAAACTGGAGGCATTCCTTCCATGGCTTTCAGGATTCTACATTCCCCGGGTTATTTTCCTGTTGCATTGGCCGCTGCTTCTAAGTCTTCTTTGTTGGTTCCTCTTCCTTTTCCTGACCTGAAAATGTTGAAAGTCCCAGAGATTTACTTATACTCAGACATCCAGGACTATGACTTAAATGCCATCGTATGCTATTGAATCCCAAATTTATGCCTCCAGTCTTGTTTGTTTCTCTTTTTTTTTTGGAAGTCCAGACATGTATTCCCAATGGCCAGACCGACATTTCTTCTTCTCCCCTGGAAGGCTTAATATGTTATTTCAAACTGAAAGATTTCTGAGCAGAATTTTTTATTTCTCCTGCCCCCAAACTTTTATGTTTTTCTCCATCTCAGTAAATAGCACATTATTCACCCAACTGATCAGGACACAAACCTAAGAACAACTTTCTCCCCTCTTTTCCTAAACCCACATGCAATCTGGGAACAATATGTTCAAGGTATTGCAGAATCTGACCATTTTCCTCCACCTTTTCTACCACCACCCTAATCCAATTTCATGTCTTTAAAATACTTCAATAAATTTCTTTGTTTTCCTTTTTCTTCTACTCTAGACTTTCTACAGTCCATTTTAGATACATGTTGACCATCACATTTTGAAAATTAACTCTGATAATGTTATTTCCCTTCTTTATGCCCTTCCCATTGCTTCTCATTGCACAGAATCTCCTGCATGTGACTTATTTTATTATTTTGTTGTTGTTGTTGAACAATAATTGGGAGTGTGTGAAACAGGGTCATAATTCTTAAATTTGAATTTAGGCTCTAGTGCAAAACTTCTGGCAAGTTGTTAAATCTCTCTGAGACTCAGTGTCCTTGTTCATAAATGGACATGATACTAGTACTATTTCATAAGTTTGTTTTTATTAAAATTAAATACGATATTTGATATTGATAAATTTAAGAAGCAGGTTGAAAAATAAGATTTTTGATATTGAGAGATTTAAGAAGCAAGTAAAATTGACATTTGTTACTTTTTTGGTATAATTTCCAATGAACACAGAGTTCATGTGTTTGTAGTAGTTCTCAGTGAAGGTTAAAAATTAGTTATGATAATAATATTACCCTTTTATGTGTAAGCCTATGAGTTCCATGGAGTGAATGACTGTGTTGATCTTGTATTTTCTGTATCAAGAGCCAACTACAGGTTTAGCAGGTGTCAGGCATCAGTTAGTAATTGCTGAAAGAATAAATAAGTGAATGAATGAAATTGTCATCTATCTTTATTCTCAGATGTCTTTGCTCTTTTGATCATCTGTTTTCCAATTGTTTATATATTTCCATTTGCCCAAGACCTGGAAATACTTTTCTTCAGATTCTATCCTTCCTACCACTGTATCTTCCCTTTGTGTTTATGCCCTTTTCCTACACTGTGACACCCTTGAGCCAAAATCCAGACCACTTGCAGCTGCCAACTTTTATTACAAAGTAAGTTGAACCCATCTTCGAGCTTTTACAGCATTTCTCATGATCTCATCACATCAATTTATTGCCTTAAGCAAGATACCTTTTTTTTTTTTTACTGAATAGTACTGGGAAGGAGAAAAGAAACTATGAAAGTGTGTGTATATGTGTATTTACATCTCTGCCTGTGTGTGTGTGTGTGTTAGTTTCTACTGCCCTCAGAACTGCTTTGGGAAAATCTAGCAATGAGGAAATCCATAGATGGCTATGAGCAATCTATTTTGGTCCTGACATCACTGTTTACTCCTAAGAGGGTATGGCATTTATTAATGTGGTACCTAAAATATTTCTGGGTTTCTACCTTCTGGACACATAGTTGATTTACCCTTCATGGTTTTCTTATGATTGTGTGAAGCCATGTGGTTGGTCTGGCCAGTAAATTGTAAGTGGGATGATGTATGTCACTTCCGGGCCCAAATATTTAATTATTACTGCAAGGCTTTTCAGAAATGTCTTTTCTCTCTAGCATAGTGATTAGCCTTATTGAAGATGGCAGCTCTTACAATACAATGGATTCCTGAGTGGCTACAATGAACAGAACCCTCAGCCAAACTGTGGTGAAGATTGCATATGTCAGAAATAAATTTAATGTATGTAAGAAACTTTTGCTATGTTGTGCCACTAAGACTTGGATTCCCTGTTATATCAATATAAACTGATAAACACATAAGTTGACTTTTTCGACGAAATATCATTTTCTACTCCTCTTGTTTATTTTGCAATGAGAAAAGTATAGATGATAAGGTGTAATGTGCTCAAAAGCATAATACAATTTTAAGTCTCTATCTCTGCTATCACACTGTTGCGTATGAAGTGTCACTAGAAGAACATGTATGTGGTCATGGTCATCCTCGTGTTTCCATCACTATGTATTAAAGGTCATGGAATTTCAGAATCTAGTATAAACTTCTCATTCAAAAAATGTTTTACTTTTGGGAAAACTAAGATAAGAATAAAAGACATTTAGATATAGCTCTCCTTCTAATATTTCACAATAATATTAATATTTAAAATAAATAAACAAATTGAGTAAGGCTATCTCTCCATGGTGTCAAATTAGTCATTTGGTTTAGTTAAGAAAAATGTCTAGTAAATTTGAACAATTGATAATGTTCAAAAAAAAAAAAGAAAAATTGCCTGGCTACGTGATTGACCTGATTTCTCTGTGTTACATAAATACTGTCTGGGGAAATGATAGATAATATTTCTATGTTTTACCTTTTCTTCTTTTTCTATCTGAGGACAGGTCTTTCATAGATACACTGATACAGTCAACTTGTGGGGCAGCAATGAGAGAGTATCTCATTCTCCAAGGAAGACACATAGTGGATTTACCCTTCATGGTTTTCTGGCCTGTTAGAGACTTTCCCCCTATAGTTAAATTACTAGATCCTGTCTGGAAAAATCGCCTGTGAAGTTGGGAGGAGAGGAGGGGAAAAAGTAAAGTAAAGCAAAGCAAAACAAAGCAAAGCAAAGAAGCCACCATTGAGTCTACCATTTAAATATGTAGTCATTAAAATAATACTGGTCTCACAGTGAGACTTCAAAGAGGAAAAATAAACATTTTTTAAAAGGTCTGAATTGCTTTCCTTTTCTTAACTTTTACAGATGTGAAAATACTTTTTGTTTAAAAGAAGTGTTAACCTACTGGCCCCTAGTGACATTGATTAATTGCTTTTCACAGCATTGGTAAAACTGTCAATTCCATTGCTCTCATTCACGTTTAGTCCAACATTTTCTACAAACCTTTTTGTGTAGCACTTAGAATTTAGAGGAAAACCAAGTAAATTAAAGAGGAAAATATTTTCCTTTTAGTCATTTTAAATAATTACTATTTTAAAGAATAAAATATAGGAAGAGTCCAGCTTTTGTGTTATAGAGATAGACATGGTAAATCTAATTAATGCCAACTCTTCTGTCATCTTTCTGATCAATTATTATTTCCTGAGGATCCTTTCTCCGACTTCCTTAATTGAATGTATTCAAATTTGTATACTCATTAATTCCTCATACAATTATCCTTCATAGCATTTATTGTAATTGCTATTGTATATTAAATTGACTAATTACTATGCATTTCAGTACTAAAATATACACTCAAAAATTGAGGACAGAGACTATGTTAGATACTGCTCACCCAGCATGTAGTACAGTCCTACCACCAAATAAATTATTTAAAACAAATTTGCTTAAAGGAGGGCATATTTCAGTCTTCTGGTCTCTGTACTGGCCGACTATTCAAGTCCACTGTTGTTAAAAACCTTAGTCTGCCACACCCATGTTAATAACCTTAGTTTGCCACACCCATGATCTAGAAAATAAACTGTTTTTTTCGTCAGTTTCTATTCCCGATATTCTTACCTTAAATTGTTTCTCAATGTTATCACTCTGGCTTTATTATTTATTCCGAGCATATACAAAGAGCTTCCTTCCATTACTTTTGGTTTGAATTGATTTCCTTTCAATCTGTTTTCTCAGAGAGTCAGAGATGTTAGTTCTGCATCAAACTTTATGATCAGTTCACAACTATCAGGAGTTTTAAAGACTTTCACTTTATTTACATACACATAAATATTTATTAAGAAAACACCAATATTTAGTCTTTGCCTTGCACAGAAGGGGGTAAAAAACAATTTTATTTTTCCATGGATGAATAAAGAAACAAGCCTTTTTAATACGGCTTAAGTTTATGGCTCTCATTGGAAGGTAAGTTGTCTCAAATGAGAGGAGAATTTTAAATAAACACATGTTTGCTCTCTATTCTTGACCCTTCTCCCAGACCCATGGCTCTCCAAGGTCTCGCTAGACCTGCTGTGCAGCAGCAGCATGTATAAAGAGCTTCCCAAAGGTAAGGGCAAAAATCATTTCCAACTACCCCAGGATCTCCTTTCCCAGAGTTTTGGGGGTGAGGCTGAAAAGTTCAAGTTTTTAATCATGGTTTGGCCTTTCTGGTGATCAGCTCTCACCCAGGAGCCCAAGAAAATCAAAAGTCACCTCATTAGAGCAAAAGACAATTTTATCACCGAGAACATTTTATTAGGAGCTCCGCATCAGGAACCATGGTCAAAGAGCAAATATTAGAAAAATAGGTGTACCTAGCATCCTAATTGCTCAAGAAATTACAAAGGTTTTAGTAGCTCTTTGTCAGGAACTGGTAGGAGAGACAAAATACACATTTTTTATTATGTCACAATGTAAAAGCCATGATTTCTATACTTCAGGAAGACCTAGAAGTTTATTGGATTTATGTGTTTCAGAACAAAAAGTTGGAGGGTTGAAGGCACTGCTGAGGGAATTCTTAATGAAATTAAGCTAGAGGTTTATGTTTGGAATGAAAGAAAGTGAATTCAGGAGAAAGATGCTTTCTTTGAGACAAAAACTATTAAGGTCAAAATATTGCCGTTGAGAACAGCGGGCAAGTGTGTGCCAGTGTCAGGTATTTTATGCATCCAAAGACAATGGCTTTCAAAGAGAAATTCTGAAGGAAGAGGAAGCGCTCACCATGTCATTCTAGCATTGATTTGGTGTCAGAAGACTTGGGGGTTCATGCCAGTTTTATTATTAATTTGCTTTGTAACCTAGGGTGAGTCACTTAAC